AAAACCCTAAATGAGTCTAATGCTGGGATGCAGTTGCCGTTTTTCTTCATCGGTCATTCATTTCTCTTCATTATCTCAAATCTGGGAGTGAGTAACATTCTTTTTTTCGTTTTTGGAGGAGGAGAGGATTTCTGAAAAAGAATGGTCCGGCTCGGTTTGTAGTTTTTTGATTTGATGGTTCTTGGGGTGTGTCTCAAGTGGTACGAATGGAAATTTTAGCACCTAATTAGTGCTGCGTCGCGACGAGGTGCGAAGTGACCTCAAATTTTGGCACCTAATTAGTGCTGCCTCGCGACTAGGCGCCAGCTACCTGTGGGCGAGACGCGCCGTACATGTCCATAACGGTGCAAAAGATTGGCGGATTTCGGAAGGGAAAAAGGTGATTTCAGATAAAATGTGATTATTCATTCATTATTACTACTTTTCAATCTTCTGACTCCTGTGTACACATCAATTCATGGATAAAGTGAATTCCAAAAATATTTTCGAAAGTCAGTGGCTTCTGTTCGGCTGGCTACCGCCAACATCCTTCAATCGAGAACGTTGCGTTCGAGATCACTCTTTTCGCAGCATGGACTGCAGCTCTTTCGGGATCGAGAATGATACGACAAAGTGTGGCACCCCGCACATTTTCCTTCACATGCTCAAAAAAATTTTTATATACAGCACGAGTTTTCTTCTCCGAAATGGCGAAGAGCAGAGGGACTGCTACACCGTGACTACACACTCCGTGCACAGAATAGAGTTGGGCATGGCGACCCAAACTTTTGGGATGCAAGGAATGCATGCCGTCGGCAACGATCGCCTGTAATCCATTTTCACGAGCCATCTGAAAGTGCATCATGATCCTGGCGGGGCTCAATAAAACTGTGCAGTAATTGATACCTGGATGGTATTGGTTGAATAATAGATATGAAGCCCTGGGTCATGTAACTGCAGGAATAATGAACCATCCCGTACAACTCCACTACAACGTCACAACTTCTTTAATTAGCAGGCCGAGCGGAAGTTATTGACTTTCGAAAATATTTTTGGAATTCACTTTATCCATAAATTGATGTGTTCACAGGAGTCAGAAGATTGAAAAGTAGTAATAATGAATGAATAATCACATTTTATCTGAAATCACCTTTTCCCTTCCAAATCGTTCGCCAATCTTTTGCACCGTTATGGACATGTACGGCGCGTCTCGCCCACAGGTAGCTGGCGCCTAGTCGCGAGGCAGCACTAATTAGGTGCCAAAATTTGAGGTCACTTCGCACCTCGTAATAACTTCGTATAGCATTACATTATACGAAGTTATAGATGCTGAATAATTTGTCCACGTACACTAACATCCCCCTCATATCTCTCCGCCTCCGGCCCTGCCTCTCATTCCCTCAGAATACCCTACGAAGTCAAACCCAACCAACTTTTTGACAATTTCCCTCTGTTTCTTTGCTCCAAGCCCATTCCACGATAGCGTCCGCACTTCGGTGGCAAAGAACCACACCAATGTTCCTGGCATGCTTTTATTCACAAAAACTCTGAAATGAAATTGAATGACAATGCCCTTCATCGAAACACCTACACATTACCACACTTGGAAGTGATGCCAAATTCAGTGGTTGACCAACGATCGCAACCTTCACACCTGTAAAAATACCACAACTCCACAGCTAAAATTGACCCATTGACTTCTCACTTGGCCATTACGTTCCACGCTGCAAACTTCCCTGTTGCTTCTCAACTCCTTTAGTTTCTCGAATGTTTCTGTTGCATTATTCACGAAAAACTGCTGAATGGCTACATGGACCTCTCCTACGAGTTCACCTCTGCTGCCTGAGTTCACTCTCTACCTTTACTTGACTTCACTGCTTTGAGAAAATTTGTACTGTTACCTGTGCACAAGCGGCTCCCATGTATCCAAAGAAAGGCGTATAAGCTGGTAGTTCTGCAGTGTGTAAATCATATGTCATTCTGTAACCATAATCAATGAATAAAGGTACGCAAAGTAGCTTTACTAAAAAAAATAAAAAATGAATGGAGAATATGCGGCCAAGCATGGTTATCTAACCTCCTCAAAACACAACATAGGAAGCAAGTAAAACTTTATTCGATCAAGAAAGTTAATTTGCTCAAAAATTCCCGACAAGCTTCTATGGGGTTGACGAAAGTCATCACCGTGTCAGTGACGTCCCTCAGCAGTCAGCGATCCTGCTGACATCGCTTCAAATGTCTAAATTTTCAACCCTCTTGCTCAACTTGTGATGATAGTGGGTAGTAAAAAAGGCAAAGTGCTAAAATAGACCAATATCGGAATATTATTTCTGACTATATACACCCCTGCTCATGCATTTTTTGAGAAAAAGGGCGGGTTTTGATGGAAAATGGAGATGTGGTTTTGAATGTCGTACAATATCAGCTTATGGGAGGGGGCGTCGCCAGAAATTTTCGAATAATAACGATAGCGGACAGACCCGAGGAGTATGCCCACAAGCACCAAAGGTTTCTCGAAATGCGCAACAATTAGGGCCTTGCAAACTGATACGAATGCAACTAAAAAAAATCATCGAATACCTATCACAATCCATGACACTAACGTGCATACGGTGTAGCAAATTCAAATAATGCTCTTCTTAGTGAAGCATGAGCAAGCAACAACCAAAAAATCGTCACCACGCCCCTTCCTCATTAGAAGAAGGAAAGGAGGGCGTACCTATCAATATTTTGTCATGTTCTGCATCCACAATTTCACTATCGACGCTGTTACCCTACTAATTCAAGCTGGGGTTGTTGCTTCGATATAGAAAGAGGCTGAGAGCGATCAAAACCTTGAAAAGAATGGGAAATATAATGAAATGCGCACAAACTTCTGCCAACGAAGAACTTTTCGAAAAACCTTCACGAACTTGCTTCACAGAAAGACTCTCACAGATCTATCTTGAGCCGGTTCGTAGTCATAGCGCGATCCTATAGACGGACACGGAATAAATCGTGAACTTGAAGTCACTATGCTTTTGCTCTGGTATGAAAGTGGACTCACGAGAAAGGTTCCACTACTCTGGACCGACTCCCTTATCTCTGCTCGAGAACACCATGCTTGTGTGTGTTGCGTTCTGCATTTCTGCGATCTGTATCCTGCATGCAGATCCAGTCGAAGGTCATTCGTGTAACAGCAAAGCGAGTCAGAGTCGCACCAATAAGAAAGCACACTGCACGCCCTGAGATAGCACTAGTAACTATTACCGAAACAGCGAAACCAATAAATTAATTCCTCCTAAGCCTCAACACGACTGCAGCAGAGCCGCTAGGAAGACTCATCAAGGGAAACAGATTTGTGATCAGCGTTAGGAGTGGCTTCAGACGTTACACTTCACATCGCAATGGCATTCTAACTTATCATCCTTCCATTGTCAGCATTATAACCTGAGGGCAAGATTAAAATAGAGAAAATAAAGGGTTGAAGCAGCGCGTAGATTTCGTGTTGACGTGCAATTATAGAATTGATAATGGGAGACGAGAAGAGTTTAGTTTAGTTACTGGCTCCATATTCTGCGCATTACTGATCCGTCCTGACACTGCATTTGAATGATCAGGCTCAAACAGGGAAAGCCAGGAATATCAAGCACTACTTTCTCGGACTGAGCATGCCACAGCAGATAAGTTGGCACGCATTCCGAAAATGTACATGGCAGAAAACATGGATTCCGAGTAGAGGTCTGAAACCTCAACAAAATTGCGGTCAAGGAGACGTGGTTTGGCCTAACACGAGCACGCCGACGCACGCTGAGG